ATCTAAATCTCCCTAATTCATCTACAAAATTTGTCTAACTTCCTTGGGGCATGCGAGTTATTCACGACAACAAGTAAAATAAAATCTTAAAGATTATCGTTCTAAGGAAAGTGAAGGTAACTATTTAAAAACAACTATATAAGTGCATAAATAAAAAGAGAAGAAAAACTAACTTGGCTTACTCGGAGCTTCATATGACTAGCTCCCTCTTTCTCTTTTCATTTTTTTTCCCAGTTATCCATTGTCAAAGAAATGATGTCCTTCGAAACTCTCCATCCTACAGTGGGTGAGAATAATTTCGTGAAGTCTGTCTCCCATATATCAAATAGTTCTTCTTCTAAGATGTAGTTCAAGGGTGTGTCATCGATAGATAGCTTCATTGATGAATTTATTCTTTCCTCTAATTCTTGTGATTCAAAAACTCTTACAGTGTTCTCCAGTTCTGCTTGTTGTTTAGTGAAATTATTCTCGTTGCTGTCTTCTTCTTGTTGCTGTTTCCAACTATTAGTTGTTGGATTCTCTGTCAATTTATAAATTGGATATTTCATGTTGTCATTCATTTGAAATTCTATTTGTTGGTCATTCATTCTCAACATTATTGTTCCCTTGTGGACATCTACCAATGTTCTTCCGGTTTTCAAAAATGGTTTCCCCAAGATAATTGGTACATCATGGTCCGCTTCATAATCCAAAATGATAAAATCTGCTGGAAATATGAATTTGTCAACTTGAATTAGGGTATCTTCGATTTTTTCTTCTAGATGAGTGAAAAATCGATCTATTAGTTGAAGGGTGACTGTAGTTGGTATGGTTTCACCAATACCTAACTTATTGTAAATAGACAACGACATTACATTAATGCTTGATCCCAAATCATATAATGCTCGACCTAACTTCTTCCCTCCTATTGATTTTGGAATTGTGAATGAACTGGAGTCTTTCTCCTTTAGTGGGATCTCGTTTTTCAATATTGCACTACACTCTTCATTTAATGGTACCACCTTGAATTCTTCAAACTTTCTTCTATTTAGCACATCCTTCAAGAATTTCACATAATTTGGCATTTTTGCTTCAAAGCTTCCACTAATAGTATGTGTATGTGAATTTCCTTAAATATATCCATGAACTTCTCAAGTGAGCTTCTTCCTTCTTCCTTTTTATTCTTTGTGGAAAAGAAGGTGTTGGTGTGTATGTTAAACTTTCTTGTCCATTGCTGACTGATGTTTGTGTTTTAGGAGGCTCCATAGTTTCTGCATAATTTTTGTTGTGTTCTTTCTGTATAGCAGCTTCCTCCTTTCTCTATTGTATATCAGCAACTTCTTGAGATTGACTATCATTGTGTTCTTTAATTTTTTCTCCCCTATTGAGTATATCTTTCTCATTTCTCAATTCTATTGCTTGACATTGCTCCATGACCTTTCTTTTTGGCATTTTGGTGTCTGCTGACAACTTACCAAGAGATCTATTTCCTAACTCATTTGCTAATTGACCAACTTGAACTTCCAAATTTCACAATGATGCTTGTTGTCTTTGTATCACAGCATCATTTTTAGCCATATTAGGTTCTCAAACGATTTTTCCAGTATGTGTTGAGTTTGGCTAGTTCCTTTCCCTTGAGTGTTGGCTTGTTGAGAACCATATGCCAATTGATTTTGTAATCCAAAACCCGGAAGGTAATTTGCTTGAGGTGACATTTGTTGGTTGTATGAGTCTTGTCCCTTCCATGAGAAGTTTGGATAGTTTCTTCACCCAAGATTATAAGTATTTGAGAATGGATTATTTTTCGGGTTGCCTTGACTAGCTTGATTCCCCACATAAAAAATTGAGGTTGGATTGCTTGGACATTGATCAAAAGTGTGTTCCTCTCTACAATATACACAAGATTCACCTACTGTCTGGGTCATTACAACAGTTGTATGGGCTGGTGCTTTGGTCATTGTGCCTTGTTCCAACGCTAGGTTTTGTAAAATATTAGTCACTGAAGCTAGTTGAGCGTTGATAGAAGACAAAGCTTCAACTTCAAGTACTCCTTGGGTCTTCTTTCCTGGATTGCTTCTCACATCGACCCATTAACAATTGTTAGAAGCTATTCTCTCTAAAATCTCATATGTTTCATTGTATGTCTTTGACAAAATAGCTCAATTGGCAGAAGCATCCACCACTTGTTTAATAGCAATATTCAATCCATTGTAGAAAGTCTCAATTTGGATACAATGTGGTAGTCCATGGTGAGGACACTTCCTAAGCATCTCCTTGAATCTCTCCCAAGCTTCACTTAGTGCCTCCTCTTCAAAGTGTTAAAAAGCAACAATCTCATTTATGAACCGTGCGTTTCTAGTGGGTGAAAAATACTTGATAAAAAATTTCTCTGCTAGACTATTCCAAGAATCAATTGTTCCCGGTGCTAAGGTATTCAACCATGATTTCGCACCATATTTCAAGGAATAAGGGAATAAGCTCAATCTAATCACGTCTTTATCCACTCCTTGAAATCAAAATGAGTCACTAACTCCCAAAAATGATTTTAGGTGTAGGTGGGGATCTTTCGACGGTAGTCCATGAAATTGCCCAAATGGTTTGCAACATTTGAAACATCAAGGGCATTAGCTCAAATGTGGTTGCTTGCATTTCAGGTCTAAGAATGCACGGATTTCGCTCTTCCACAGCTGGGTGTGCATATGCTCAGATTGCTCTTTCTCTGTCATATGCTAAATGAATGGCATTAGCAGTAATTCTTTCTTGATTAGCCATCATCGCTAGATTTTTCAAACTCCTGATTTAGTTGGACCATTTGCTGTATATTCTGTTCTGCCATTTTCTTTTTATCCCTCAACTTTCGTCTAAAGGTTCTCTCTATTTCGGGATCAAAAATAAATTCCAAACCCGTAAGTGGGTTCATGCACAGAATTCTGCAGTAGTTAATTCAACAGTAGAACAACTTACTCTAGCTTCTTTTTGGATCCAACTCATGAAAATATATCATTAAAATAACCAAATTAGCTTCCCTGGCAACGGCACCAAAAAATTGGTCGCTTGTGGATGTATATAATAAAATGATGGAAAATTCACAAGAATAAGTGTAAGTATACACTATCACAAGTAGTAAGTAATAAGTATCACAAGTAGCAAGTAATAAGTAAATTATTGATTCCAGATAACCTATTTTTTTGGTTAATTTAATCGCTGGAAATTATGTGAGTTTTTGGGTGACATTCAAATTGGTGTTTGGTGATTTTGACCAATTAAATAAAACTAAAGCAGAGTGTCACTGCTATGGAATAACAGAAAATGATGAGAAAATCAATGATAATGAGAAAGGTTTGGCAAAAAGCAATTAAATACATAAATTATTGAGTTTTGTGGGAGATTTTAGTTCTTTTAATAGATTTCCAAGCCCACTTCAGAGGGTCATGTTATTTCCATAATCGTTTGTAATTTCTATTAACAAGGCTCTAGGAGAAATTTATTTCTAACCCTTTTATTACACTTCGAGTCTCCTTGCGATGGAAGTAAAGTATTAAAAAGAAGTTCATTGCTCCCTCTCTTCTCCCGAATAAGAGAACAACTATGTACGTAAAATAGCTAATTAAACGCACATGTAAATCATTAACAACAACTCTTTAATCAACTAAGATTATACTACCAACATACTTAAACTATATAAAACTCTCACGCCTCCCCTATAAAGTTTAGCTCTTCATACAAATTGAATTAAACAGAGGAATCCGCATCTCAATCAAGTAAGATTGATGAAATAAAAAAAGAGAATAAGGAAATAGAGAGTTATCCTGCTTTGTTGTCGTTCGTCAATGGAAGTTCCCTTCCCTTGAGCTCTTACGTCCACCTCTTTGCCCTAATCAATCCTTGTTGGTCTCCTTTTCCTTCTGTTGTCAACAACTGCTGGATCACGGTTCTTTTTTTTCTGATTCTATAATAGTTTATTGCAGTAGAGGCTGATGTCTAATTCCATTTTTCTCCCAAAGTGTGGCTCCCCTCCTTTTTTGGGTATTCTTTTCCTTTTATAATGTTTGTTTCTTCTCATAGAGGGTTGAGAAAGGATAAAATCGTCCACCTAGGATGTTTCTAATTTGATAGTCAATGACCCACATGAACGGCTGATGTGGATTAAAATTTCCAGGTCATCCTCGAAAAGTTGGCTTTCAGGATTACTTCAACATAAGGGTCAACAATCCCACGCATGTGATAGATTATGAACCCTTGGAGGTGGTAGAAGACTTGAGTTACGAAGAAAGACCCGTGAGGGTCTTGACATGTGAAGTACAACCTTTACGCACCAAGGACATTGGTTTTGTCAAAGTGTTGTGAAGAAACTAGCAAATAAAGGAGGCTACGTGGGAACAGGAGTACGTGGGAACAGGAGGACGAAATGAGGAGAAATACCCAAAACTATTTCTTAATGTAGACACTTCCTAGGACGAATGTCTGTTTAGGAGGGAATAATGTAAAGATAGATATTTTTTTTTAAAAAAAAATGGAACCTCGCTGAAAATCGCCAGATATCTGGCGAGGCGCTATTTTCACAGATTGAAACTGCTCCACGCCCCTTCATAATCTCCCAACTCACACCCTCCATAACCAGCACAATCTTTCCTTCACTCTAAAAACTTACACATGAAGCCAGGAGAGAAAAGAGGAGTAATCAATTCACTTATGTTATTTCAGGTAAGTAAGACTTCTTTTCCTTCCAAATAAACACTTTTGAAAAAGAAAAATAGGAGTAATCAATTCACTTATTTTATTTAAGTCATGTGTATGGTGGCGTCTCTAATTTCTATCTTAATTTAGTTATCTCTAAAGCCAGGTTGATTAACATATATGTATTAAAATGGATAATCATATTGGAAAATTTAAGGAAGATAACAGTGATATCTTTCCTTAAAAACTTCATTCATTTCAAAATGGAATGATTTTGCAATAAACGAATAAAAGCTGAGTTGGAAGAGACTTCCATTTTTTAGTGTTAAAATTTTGTTATAAAAATGAAGAAAAGTAGAGGGCAAAAACCAGGCATCGTAGAAGAAGAGAGAAAAATGGGTTTGAATTCATCACATATTGAATGTTTAGTATTAATTGCCATTTTACTTTGCATTACTAAATGCTATGCCCAAAATGTGTTCAATATCATGCAATTTGGTGCAAGTAATGATGGACGAACGGATAGCACTCAGGTAAACTTTTTTTTTTTTTTTTTCATTTTGGGATAATATTTTTTATAAAAGTGTGAAAACCTCTTTTAACATATGTGTTTTAAAATCGTGAGGCTGACGACGATACGCACTAAGCCAAAACTGACAATATTTGTTGACCGTGGGCTTGAGTTGTTACATGTTTTATATTTCTTTAAAAAGATTTTGAGAAACATAAGAGTTAGAAGTTGAAGCGTTCTTAAAATGTTTATGTTATTTTCAAAACAGGATAGAATTTTTTGAAACAATAAGATCGAATTTCTTAGGTCTCTTTTCTCATTTTTTATTTTTCTTTGTTTTATTATCTCCCTACAAATATTTTAAAAATCCTAACTAGTTTTTTAAAAAATAAAAAAAGTATTAAGAAAAAAAAAACTTATTTTTTTTATTTTGGAATTTTGATAACAATCCCACTTTATTTTTGTAGAGGGAAAAAACTACAAATAGGTTAAGAAAATAAAAGGCTTTTTTATTTTTAATTTAAATTTAAAAGAATTAAAAAAAAATCCAAAACTAATAAAATATAAAATTTAAGTTAATTTTGTTGAAAAATGGTGTGTGTAGGCATTAAGTAAGGCATGGAGGCAAGCTTGTTGGCGTGATGGAGGTGGTGTAGTTTTAGTACCAGATGGGAGGTTTCTAATTTTTTCCTTGGTGCTTAAAGGTCCATGCAAAGGATCCATTGGTCTACGGATTAATGGCCAATTGTTGGCTCCTATCGATCCAAATTTCGCCATTGCCCAAATCTGGTTGAGTATCTATGAAGTCGACAACTTATTTGTCGACGGGTATGGCAGCTTCGACGGTCGCGGTTTTTTAGCTTGGTCTATCAAAACCTTTAACCGTCCAATTGTAAGTCTATTTTTTTGGATTCTTTGGTTAAAGTGTTAGATGGAACCCTAATTTTCACTTCCTTTTTTTTTTTTTTAGTTATTTGCCAAGTGACCGTGAAATTGTTTCTATGTAGTCTATGAAACTCACTAAAATCAACCATGCGAGAATTACGGGTATAACATCGTACAATAGCAAATTCTTCCATTTTGGTGTGCATGGATGTAGTGATGTCACATTTGATCACATTAGAGTAATGGCTCCAAGAGATAGCCCCAACACAGATGGAATCCACATTTCCAAGTCAAGTGGTATCAACATTGTGCATTCAAGATTCGACACTGGAGACGATTGTATCTCTTTGGGCCCTGGAAGTAGATTCATCAACATAACAAACATCCATTGTGGTCCAGGTCACGGAATCAGCATCGGCAGCCTTGGAAAATACCCAAATGAGGAAGATGTCTCTGACGTTTTAGTAAGAGACTCCACATTTGTTGGTACAGACAACGGTGTGAGGATCAAAACATGGTCGTCTTCACATCCTAGTTTTGTTACCAAGATTGTTTTTCTCAATCTCGAAATGAAGGACGTAAGAAACCCTATGATCATTGATCAAAAATATTGCCTTGACTGCAGCAGAGATAAAATGGTATATATATTCAAATTTGATATCGTTAGGTTTTAGTAAAAGTGAAAATGGTATTACAATGAATGTTGTTTGTGGTGGACAGAGTACTTCAAGAGTGCAGATTCGAGACGTGAGATATGAAGGTATACGGGGGACTTCAGCAACCCAAGCGGCAGTAAATTTTGAATGCAGCCAAGTTTTTCCATGCGAAGGCATAGTGTTGCAAGACATTAACCTCTCCTTTAATGGTGGTGGCCAACCAACTTCCATTTGTCACAATGTGAAGGGCTCTGCTTTTGGCAAACAACTTCCTTCCTCTTGCCTTTAATTACTTTTTGTTTTTGTTCTTCCTTAATTTAGATTTGGCCATTTCAATAAGGATTTCATGAAAATCCAAGGAAATAATGTTAAAAGAAAGAAAAGTTTGTAACCTAATTTTAAAAATAAAACAAAAGCCTATAAAAGAAAAGTCACGTCTAGACCCTACCAGTTTGAAAATCATTTGTTTTATTCTATCATTAATCTTCGCTAAACATTTAGTTAATAGTCACAAAATTATTGAACTTGGTTACAACTAATGAGATAATCCTTCATCCATTCTCATGACGGGTTTATGGAATTGTAGTTTTGGCTCTTGACCCATTTCTACACATGATTGTAACTCCTCATGTTGCCACACATGTCATCATCTTATGTGATTTTAGTCAAGCTCGATAGTATGTGTTTATAGATACCTACTGCCTGGCAGGAGCACTATTCGGTTCGACTTAGGTTAGTGCTACTGAAGGTACCAATGTGAAATAGAAGAAAATCGGGTTCAAGTGTACCCTTCACGCTGCTAGCAACCTTGTAAACTTTCTTAACTTTTCTTGGATGACATTGAGATTTACTTGATTCTTAGGGCATCTAGATGGTTCAATTCTTGAACTCACATAATTAGGGCATTCTAGACGAGCTAGGGTCTTTACCAGTGATCGCTGCTCACGATCCTAGAGTTCTAAGTCTACTGGAAAACTTTTCACCTACGTCAAAGGTAAAATCATCCTAGCTCTAGTTCTCTTTTAAAATTCTCATACTAAAGCCATTTCATTCATTTTTCATATCATAAATGGCATTCTCATACAAATTACCCTTCTAAAGTCTTAATCATGCATAGTCTAAAAAATCAAAAAATGGAAAAAACAGTTATGACAATAGCTGTGGTGGAGGAATCTTCAAATTCACGAGGGTAAGTAAGAAATGAATTAGGTAGCCCATAAGCTTAGCTTAGTAAAATAAGTTTCATTGAGTGGACTTGAAGACCGTCTCTTTTTGTCACAATCTTGACATATTTATGATAAGCCCTAGGAGAAACTTAAGCCCCATTTCTAATTTTTACCGAGCTTTACAACTTTGTCAAACCTTTAACGAGATTCTCCTTTGTTGACTAAATACAATTCACAAGGAAACAAAGCTTGTTCGACCACATACACAACCTATGCATTCATGTTCGTTCTACCTGACTTGTCTCTACTCTAGGCCAAGTCATTCAACTCGACCTTACTTCTACTCTAGGACAAGGTCCTTTGAAAGCAATGTCTCCATCTCAGATTATCATTTTCATTCCAACAACACCAACCACGTTTCATGATGTCTCATACCAAGTCCCATGACGTCATCAATCCTTGTTGTTTCCTTGAACACATTTATCGATAATCGACCCATGCTTCATCTTTATTGTTAGAACACCCCAAACATCCATACATGTGAGTATTATCAAGGCATGAACCTTCTCATGTCTATGCCGAGTCATTTATGGATACTGTATTAGATAACACCTCCATATATCAACCTTCGACTCATGCGTTGGGGTGCAATATTGACACATTCATGTCGTCTGATAGTCGAAAAAATCTATTTTCAATGGAAAACGCCCAAGACGTTTGTCTTTCAACGCACCCACATCATGACATACGTGTGTGCCATGCGGTAGCTCACTTAATCCATAGGGTCTAGGGTGGTGGAGAACTGACATCATGTCACCCCGTATAGTACATTTCGAGGCATTTTTTGTAAGATAGAAGTAGACATAATTTTGGCAAATGGTCATACAACCTCATACAGAGTGAGTCAGATATTCGATTAACACCAAATTTTGCAAGCTATCTAGCCTCCTTTGTGCCTGTCTCTTGCACTGTCTTTTCTTACATTCTTGTCTTCCCTTTGCCTCTAATCATGTTGGATGATGCACTTGTTGGGGTTTATGTCCTAAAACTAATAGTTTGTAAACAAAAACATATTCTATTTTCAATAAAGTTATTATTGTTGTTTATTTAGTAAAGATTGTAATTGAATAAAGTGAATTTAAAATCATTAATCTAAATCCAATAAACTAAGAACACTTTGGCTATAGTATGATTACTTCAACTATATGTAGAGACATAAGAGTTGATCAAGTTCAAGTATATAGTCAAAATGATTTATAGTATAAGGATAAGGCTGAGTACCTTATTCTGGGGACACTATGAATGCGACTCACTTTTTATCTTAATTTAGTTATCTCTAAAGTCATTAGCTCTATGTTTAAGTTTGATTAACATATATGTATTAAAATGAATAATCCTATCAAACCAACCATTGAAACTCACATAGTATCTGAGTTTATTTAAAATTAAATTAAAAGTCTAACGGTCAAGTTCATTGGTCTATCTCATTCTATCTCATAATAAATTCTAAATTTTGATATATTAAACTTAAATTTAATTTTTGGGTGTTAAAATTTTATTATAAAAATGAAAGAAATGTAGAGAATAAAAACGAGGCATCGTAGAAGAAGAGAGAAAAATGGGTTTAAATTCATCACATATGGAATGTTTAGTGTTCATTACTATTTTACTTTGCGTTCCTAAAGGTTATGCTCAAAACGAAGGGTTCAATATCATGCAATTTGGTGCAAGAAATGATGGACAAACTGATAGCACTCAGGTAAACATTTTTTTTTTTTTTTGGTGATATTTCACGTCGACTAAAGACGAGAACTAAGCCTTTTTTATATGGGTGTGGAAACCCTTTCCTAATGGATATACCTTAAAACCGTGAGACTGACAACGATACGCATTAGACCAAAATGGACAATATTTGTTAACCGTGGACTTGAGCTATTACATGTTCTATATTTCTTTTAAAAGATTTTGAGAAAACAGAAGAGTTAGAAGCCGAAGCGTTCTTAAAATGTTTATGTTATTTTCAAAATGTAGTAGAATTTTTTGAAACAATAAGATCGTGGTTTACTTAGGTCTCCTTTCTTATTTTTTTTATTTTTTTTTTCTTTGTTTTATTATTGATCTCATCCAACAAATATTTTAAAAAATCTAAACAATTTTTTTTTAAATAAAAAAAATATGTAAAAAAAATATTGGTTTTTTATTTTGGAATTATGAACAATCCCATTTTTTTTAGGAGGCAAAAAAAAACTACAAAGGAAAACAATATCAAAGGGAGCTTAGCTATTGATTTTGTTTCTAGGTTAAGAAAATAAAAGGCTTTTTTTTATCATTATTTACTTATAAAATCCATAAAAATAAATTTAAAATCAAGATTTTGGAAATTTAATGTTAAAAACTAATTTTTATAACATTTTGAATAATAAATTTAAAAGTACATTAAAAAATGGGGAAAAATAGAAAGAAAGGCTTATAATGCAAACATACTTATTTTATTTATTTACAAAAGAAAGAAACAAGAAATTATAAGTTATAGTAAATTTAATTATATAAATATTTCAACATGTTAGGCACATTCATTTTGTTGATTTCAGAAATTAAAATTATAAAATGTCATTCATTTTATAATTTCTAAGTGTTTTATTTAATTTTTGAAAAAAAAAAAAAAGTCCCAAAATTAATAAAATTTAAAATTTAAGCTATTTCAACATGTTTGCTGGTTTGTATAGGCATTAAGTACCCATGGAGCCACGCTTGTGCATGTGATGGAGGTGGTGTGGTTTTAGTACCAGACAGGAGTTTTCTGATTCTTCCGTTGGTGCTTAAAGGTCCATGCAAAGGATCCATTGGTCTGCGGATTAATGGCGAATTGTTGGCTCCTATCGACCAATATTTCGCCACTGGCCAAACTTGGCTGAGTATCTATGAAGTTGAAAACTTTTTTGTCGACGCTTATGGCAGCTTGAACGCCCGCGGTTCTTCAGCTTGGCCTTTCAAAACTTCTAACCGTCCAATTGCAAGTCCTTTTTTTCGATTCTTTGGTTAAAGTGTTGGAACAAGAATTCACTTTCTGTTTTCTTCTTTTTAAGTTATTTGTTTAGTGACCGTGAAAATTTTTGTGTAGTCTATGAAACTCACTAAAATCAACAGACTACACTAAAATCAACAATGCAAGAATTAGGAGTATAACATCGTACAATAGCAAATACTTCCATTTTAGTGTGCATAGATGTCAATAATGTCACGTTTGATGACATTAGAGCAATGGCTCCAGAAGATAGCCCCAACACAACACAGATGGAATCCACATTTCCAAGTCAAGTGGTATCAACTTTATGCAGTCAAGATTCGACACTGGAGACTTGTATCTCTTTGGACCCTGGAAGTAGATTCATCAACATAACAAACATCCATCGTGATCCAGACCACGGAATTAGCATCGGTAGTCTTGGAAAATACCCAAATGAAGAAAATGTCTTTAAAGTCATAGTAAGAGACTCCCATTTGTTGGCACAGACAATGGAGTGAGGATCAAAACTTCCACATTTGAAAATGCCATTCTGTCCAGAATCAAAACTTCCACCGTGGCCTTATGTAAAATAATTCTAACGAATCTAAAAAATCAGCGGTTGGATTTCCTCCAGAATTGAACACAATCTAGAACGTTCATAGATCACTACATTTAACGATCAGAATTCAAATTGGAAGTCACTAGCTTGTTAATCAGGATGAATACTTTTGACAGATTGTCCAGAAAATTCAATCTTTAAATCACGAAGATTTTGAAGCTTTCAACATCGGTTTAAGCTTCCCTTATAAAGTGTCAAGTTGGGGCATTAGTATGGAACAAGAATCGAGCTCCCAATCACAAGTAATAGCCGTTTAGATTTTGGATCTCCTAGTCTCGAGTTGAATTGAGACTAGGAGATCCAAAATTCTCCATCATTTCCCTTCAAACTTGTTCCTACATTTTCTAAGCAAGATTACCCACATGTTCTTTGAAGGAATTGAGTGGTAAAAGTGCCTAAAACCATTCCCCTAATCCAATCCGCCATTGAAGAACTTAAAAATAAGTTTGAAAATCTCATATGAGCTTACACGCAAATTCTTTAAGCAAGGAGTCTTGCCACAGAAGAGCACGAAGAGAAATAACCTCATACAAGTGCTCAATTGAAGGAAATAAGTTTTGGGCTCAAATTGGGGGTAAGTGTTGAATTCCTATCTACGGTCCCTTTTCTTTCGAATAGAGCATTCCTTCCACTTCAAAGGATGAAGTTGAGAAACTTTGATGAAGAAATCGAGAGCTGAAACGTTGTAGAATGAGATGCCTAAGTGATAATGTTTGCATAATCCACCACACCTAAATGGTGTATCTTATTTATAATCAAATAAATGACAAGGATATGGAAAGACTAATAAACGGGGTATGTAAGAAGACAAATATCTAGATAGTTGACTTATAATAAAATATCAAATATGATATATATGATAAACTATAATTTAGCACTAAATATCCTTAACACCCCAACAAGCTGAGCGTCAGATTTCAACGAACGTGAAATTTGAATCTGAAAAATTCAAAGAGAGGTCGAGAAACACCTTTCGTGAAGATGTCGAAGAGAAACACTTTCTTGACCATCGAAAACTATAGACGGATCGTTGCTCAGCGATGATGCTGCCTTGGCTTCGGTGAGAATATGTCTAACCCATGAAGAGGGATCGTCGCTCAGCGACGATGCTGCCTTAACTCCAGTGAGAATATGTCAACCCAAGAAGTAGAAGGGGAAACCTAGAGCAAGGAACAAAGACAATGTTGAAGCCGGTAGAGTCGCCACAGTGGACGAAGAAGCCAATTTTGGCGAGAAGAAAGGCGGCGACTTGGTTGGCGAAGAGGCCAGTGCAATGCCTAGATTCCAAAGGTAAATCTCTGCAGAAGGTCGATAAGTTTAGGTTAGGGTTTATGTGAAAGATGAAGGGAAGAATGGGAGAATGAGAGAGACTATGTTGGCTAAGGGAAAATTGATTGTGTTGGAGAAGGTAGAGTTGTATGTACAAAGTATGGTGAAAGATGATTTGAAGGTCAAAAGGGTGGAGCCGAAGAATAATCAATCGGCTTCGCTTGCGACAACCATGGAGACTGCCCCTGCAGCGTCAAAGCCAGCAGGGGTGATGGGGAAGAACCGTGGAGGATTCAGAAGCCATTGAAAAGAAAAGATCGGGACTGCTAAACCGAAAGAGGTCTAATACCATGAGAATGTTTGCTTAATCCACCACACCTAAATGATGTGAAAATTATCTTATTTATAATCAAATAAATGACAAGGATATGGAAAGCCTAATAATGGAAATAACAATAAATAGAAACATATAAGAAATATTTGCCTTATAATTATAATTTAGCACTAAATATCCTCAACAGTAATCATAAAAAATATTTGCTGTGAATGTTTGATTAATCCACCACACCCAAATGGTGGTGAGAGTTCTCTTATTTATAATCATTTACAGAATACATAAATAAGGTAAATTACAAATAATAAGGAAATAGCGATAAAAGGAATAATAAATGAATACAATATATTTGCATTTAGTAAAATGGCAAATATGGTAACCCGTAATGTAAGGCAAATATCTAGATATTTGCCTTATAATGAATGGTCATCTATCCTTAACACCCCCCCGCAAGCTGAGCGTCGGATTTGAACGAACATGAAGCTTGGATCTGAAAAATTCAAAGAGAGGTCGAGAAATACTCTTTGTGAAGATATCAGCAACTTGGAGATGAGAGGGTACATATTGTGTACGAAGTTTGCCAGCGATAACAAGTTCTCGAAGGAAATGATAATCTAGTTCAACATGCTTGGCCCGCTTGTGAGAAACAGAATTAGAGCTAAAAAAAATAGCACTTTTGTTGTCACATAAGAGTAAGAGCTGCTGTGAAATAGGGACCTTGAGGTCATGCAAAAGATGCGTAACCCAAAGAAGTTCAGCAGCAGTTGTGGCAAGAGCACGATACTCAGATTCACAGCTGGAGCGTGATACAGTAGGTTGCTTTTTGGCACTCCAAGAAATGAGATTGTTGCCAAGATAAATAGAATAGCCGGATGTAGAACGACGAGTATCGGGACAACCAGCCCAGTCAGCATCCGAATAAGCGACTAGCGTACTAGGAACAGTGGATGGACGAAAGATAAGACCAAAGTGGAGTGTTCCTTTGACATAGCGAAGAATACGTTTGACAGCAAGAAAGTGATCTGCAGTAGGGGCATGCAAGAATTGACTGACAGAATTGACAGCATAGGCAATATCTGGCCGCGTAATAGTCAAGTACTGAAGGGCGCCAACAAGAGATCTGTAGAGAGTAGGATCAGAGAAAGGAGCACCATCAGCAGTCAGGTGTTGAGAAACAACCATGGGAGTGTGAACTGGTTTGCTATCGAGCAACTGAGCACGAGTAAGAATATCTCGAGCATATTTTAACTGACTGATAAAGAGACCATCAGGAGTGGGTGAAGCTTCAAGACCAAGAAAGTAACTGAGAGAACCCAAATCTTTGGTAGCAAACTCAGAATGAAGCTTGCGAGTAAAGCTGTTAATAAGAGATGAGTTGTTGCCGGTAACAATAATGTCATCAACATAAAGAAGCAAATAGATAAGATTAGATTGCTGATGAAAGACAAAAAGGGACGTGTCAGCGCGACTGCAAGAAAACCCAAGTGTGAGAAGAAATGAGCTAAAACGCTGAAACCAAGCACGAGGAGCTTGCTTTAAGCCATAGAGAGCTTTCTTTAATAGACAAACATGCATAGGAAATCGAGGATCAACATACCCAGGAGGTTGTTCCATATGAACACGTTCAATAAGCGTTCCATTGAGAAAAGCATTCTTGACATCAAGTTGTCGAAGAGGCCATTTATTTGTGAGTGCAATAGAAAGCACAACACGGACAGTGGTAGCTTTGACAACCGGACTGAAAGTGTCAGTGTAGTCAAGACCAGGAACCTGAGTATAACCTTTGGCAACGAGACGAGCCTTGAAACGCTCGACAGATCCATCGGGCAAATATTTAATACGAAACACCCATTTAGAGCCCACGATGTTGGTGTTGGCAGGGCGAGGAACCAAAGTCCAAGTATCATTTTGTTGTAACGCTCGAATTTCTTCATCCATGGCAGCCACCCAAGCAGGATTCTTAGCCGCAGATTTGAATCCTTTTGGCTCAGTGGATGCAAGAAGAGTAGAGAGAAGTCCAGATGAGCCCAACATACCAAGATTTGCTGGATGACGAGTCTTGAATATACCAGCTTTGGCGCGTGTGATCATAGGATGAGTGCCCAAAGAAGAGAAATCAACAGGAGGTTCAATAGAGGTTGAATTAGAAGTCGAGGGTGACAAAGTGGAACCTGCAAGAGAAGTATCAACCTGCACAGACTCATCTACAAGGTCAGAACAAATATCACACGGGGATGAACTGGATTGAGGAATGTGCGGTGATGAAGTGGTAGGGGGGGATGAATCAATATGATGAAGATGTGGTTCCAAGAAATTTGAAATAGGAATAGTGGAAAGAGCTTGGGCTTGGGAGCTAGGGATAGCAGGAAAGTGAGTTTCATCAAATTGAGCATGGCAGGTGATATATAGCTTAGTGGTGGCGGGATCAAGACAGCGGAGCCCTTTATGAATGGGACTATAACCCAAAAAAATACAAGGAATGCTACGGGGAGAAAGCTTGTTAGGCATATAATCACGCAAATAAGGATAAACACGACAACCAAAGGGATGAAAAATGTCATAATGTGGAGTGTAGCCATAAAGAAGTTCAAAGGGTGACTTACCTCCAAGAAGTGGAGTAGGCAACCGGTTGATAATATAAGCTGCAGTGCTGAAGGCGTCAACCCAAAAACGAGGAGAAAGATGAGAGTGAACGAGAAGGGCCAAGCCAGTCTCAGTCACATGACGATGTTTTCTCTCAACACGACCATTTTGAGCAGGTGTATATGGACAAGAGAGTTGATGGTGGATGCCAGAATTACGTAAATGAGTTTTGAAACAAGTACTAGTAAATTCGGTACCACCATCGCTTTGAAATAACTTGATACAAGAAGAATATTGATTTTCCACAAATTTTTGAAATTGAAGAAAAATATAAAAAAAATCAGATTTAAATTTTAAAGGGTAAAACCAAGTGAATTGAGAATAATCATCAATAAAAATAGCATAATAAAGAAAACCCGAATTTGATTTGACGGGAGAAGGACCCCAAAGATCACAATGAATAAGATCTAACACATGAGACGACCTACGTTCATTGCGAGAATAAGGCAGTCGATGACTTTTCGCAAGCTGACAAGTATTACATAATGATGAAGAAGGCAATAAAGACGTAAGAGAAAGATGACCTTTTTTATTTAAAAAAGAAATAACAGAATGATTCACATGACCCAGACGAGCATGCCATAAATCATATGAAGCACGTAAAGATTTGTTTTTAAGGGCTGAAATAAAAGCAGAGTTGCCGCGCTCCAGCA